CCTTGTTCCTTGGGAGCAGAGCCTGACCCCACCTGGCTGCACCTCCTATCAGGGAGTTGTGGAGAGCCAGAGGGTTCCCCTGAGCCTCCTTTTCTCTAGGCAGGGCAGTGTGTTAGGATGGGGTGGGACGTCCCAGATGGAAGCAGAGCAGTATGTTGGGGTGGGATGGGATGGGATGTGCCAGGTGGAAGCAGGGCAGTGTGGTGGGGTGGAGCACCACTGGTGTTCTGTGTGTAATATGGAGCCTGAGACCTGCTCCCTGGGACACCTTGAGAATTATAAGAGAAGGTTATGTGGAGACCTCATAGCGACCTTCCAGTGTCTGAACGGGCTCCAGGGAAGCTGGAGAGGGACTCTGTGTTAGGAGCAGCAGTGACAGGACAAGGAGTAATAGGGACAAATTGAAAGGGAAAATTTGGGTTACATATTAGGAAGATGTCTTTCCTGTGAAGGTGGTGAGGGCACAGGTTGCTGTTGCTGCCCTAGCCCTGGCAGTGTTCAAAGCCAGGTTGGATAAGGCCTTGAGCAACCTGTTCTGGAGGGAGGTGTCCCTGCCCAGAGCAGGGGGTTGGGACTAGGTGATCTCCAAGGTCCATTCCAACCCCTGAACACACTATGATAAATGAGCCCAGAAAAGCACTTCAGCCCCCACAGCAAACCAGGTTTAGTAGTGCCCTGAATGTCACCTTGAGCTGGTGTTTCACCTTGAGATGATATTTCACTCTGCCCTTTCCAAGCCCTTTGTCCCATCTGTGTCCCCTGATATGAGAAGGACCAAATTGGCTGAGGGAAGGGCAGAAGAATGAGGCCAGTGTTGAGCTGTGCCAGCAGTGACACAGAGCTGTGCTGTGCACACCCCTCACTGGCACAGGGACACTGGGGACGGACACCAATGCCTCATTTATTGGCAAAAACACTCATTTCTATCTGTTCCCCACTGGAGTGCAGGGAACGACGTGGAGCTGATGGAACTAGCAGTGTAGATGTGTGCTAAGTGTTACTGCAGAGCTCTGTGTGGCCACAACCATCAGGAGATCACTGCCACGTGTCCCCTTGGCCCAGTGTGGTCACTGAGGCAGTGGTTGCCTGTCCTGGCCTTTGGTCATGAATTGTTTGCCAGGATTGCTGAACCCTGGGCTGTTACCTGGTGGGTTGTGCAATCCCAAAGGAGCTTCACGGCTAAGAGATTGAGTTTTGCTTCAGGATTCCTGCAAACTGTGCACAGCAGCTCAGCCAGCCTGAAATCCCTGTGGTGCCTCAGGTGTAGATGAGCTTAAACCTCCAATTTTCTGTATTTACTGTGCAGTCGGAGTCACTAACAAGACATTTGTCCCATAGTACAATTGATTGAATCATAAGCACGTGAGATGTGCAGAGATGGCAACTGGAGAGCCACAGGTTTTTGTGAGAGGTGTAAATCTCCTGTGCCTCAGGAGTGAGTGCCTGAAATGGAATGGGATTGTTTGGAGAGAGCCTTGTGGGGTTGTATTTTCTCCCAAATCTGGGTAAGTGGAGCACCAGGATATGTATTACCATTCCTGGCTGCAGTGGTTAGAAATGCAAGTGTAGACTGTGGTCTGAGCAGAAGGGCCTGATGCTCAGGTGGTATGAGGGAGGCAGCTGTACCTCTCTGCAGGTGCTCTGAGGAGAGCTCACACGTACCCCTCAGCACACTGGTGTTCGAATCTGTGGCTTTTCACTTGTGCACAATCTGTAATCACTTTATTTTCAGTTCCTCTGCTGGAGGGACACAGTTTATCTCTATTGCTACACAAGGCCAGAAGGTTTAGGAGATCCATGTTTGTCCAGGAAAGCCTTCTGTGTGTTATCTGAGCCCTCAGGGCACAGCAGCCCCCACAGCTCTGTCGTGACACTGCTCCTGGTCCCTGTGATCCCTCCGAACAGGGACCCATTGGAACCAGTTTGCAAGTGGAGGGAGCCTGAGTTGGGGCAACAATAGTTGGTGTGAGGTATAATGTTCTTCCAGAGAAGGAAATACTCTGCTCCTGACAGATTCCCCATACAGTTTCATGGCTCTGTAGGAGTCACTCTCTGTTCAGGCAGGTGCACAGCAATGTGTGGTCTGTGCTGGGAGGAGCTGGAGGTGAGAGTGTTATCACTGTGATGGAAGGAGAAGGGTCAGAGGGTTTCTCACATCAAAGAGGCAGCAAGTTTTTAGGTTCTTATCTCCTTACTGCCCCAGCTGTAAGAAACCAATATCAGACAGGGCTTGGAGCAGCCTGGGCTAGTGGGAGGTGTCCCAGCCCATGGCAGGCTCCTTCCAACCCAAACTATTCCATGATAACACCCTTCTTGGTCCTTCTGCATTTATCAGGCTGCTCCTCCTGGGCCCTGGCCTGTGTGCTGCTGGCACATTATGATGGCACAGGAGTAAACACTCCTCCTTTTCCTGGCTTATCCTAGTGCCAGGAGCACTGGGCACTGGGAATGGAAGCTGCATCCCTCCTCACCCTGATGAGCTTGGTCTCACCTGACAGAATGATCTAATTAGTCCTGGAGCTTAGTGCTGCTGCTGAGCTCATTTGTGCCAGTACCAGCAGTTCCCAGGGAGGTGTTTGCAGGCAGGCCCTTGGAGTTTGTGGAGAGGAAACTCCAGGCTCTCTCCTTGGGCAGGAGGTTTGGGATGTGCTCTTGGAAGCCTTTGCTGTGACTCACTTACTCACTGTGTGTGCTGAAGACTCAGTGACACTGAGGTCCCAGTTTTATTGTCACCTCTCTCCTGGTTTGATTTCAGCTGTTTCTTCCCAGAAACTGACATTTTCCAGCCATTGTTTCCTCGGGAAGTACTTCCCCCACCCCGCCATAGTTCGCAACACTTTCTGTTTCCATGTTTTCCTGCAGGAGCTGCAGCTCTGGGAAGTTTTGTGGCAGAGCCAACGACTTCCTGCACAAACAGTCTGGGTTTACCTTTGCTGGGGGAGGACAAGGTGGGAATTGTCTGCCTGAGGCTGTGGCTGGGGGAGGGAGGACTTGCAGGAACAGCAGATGCCAACATGTTTTAAAGGTCTTTTTTCCTTTAGGCTTGGTGAATGCTGCAAAGGACAGAAGTGCACGAGTGAATAACTGTGGGTTTAGCAAGTGCAAAGAAAGGTTCCAGAGCCACGGATGTAAAGAGGAGTGAACTCTACTGTTCTCCTTGTCTCTTGAGCTTTCTCCTTCCTCTTGTCTGCTGTCTGTGCAGGGAGTAGATGTCACTGAGAGCCAAGATTCACTGCATGATCCCTGTTGCTGCAGGGTTTTGCCTGCCCTTTGAGGGTGGATGATTAAAGGTTTTCTTCTCATATTTCAGATAGTCAAATATCAAAACTGAATTATCAGTTCCCTGGTGAGACATCCCTAAGGAGTTCTCCTAAAAGGCTTAGATAAATGAGAATCTTTTCATCCTCTGTTTTTTAGGGATCTTAGCTGGAAGCTGGGCAGTTGTTCTGAGTACTGAGCACAGACAACACGCAGCAGTTCCTGATCCAACTCCTTTGGGATCAAGCAATCCTGAGGGCTGGTGTGGGAGAAATAGCAGCACCAGCTGCAGCCAGGCACAGGGAGTGAGCTGTGACTTGGTGTCACAGCTGACCCACCTGGTAACTGCCTGCTGCAAACTGTGTTCCCACTGCAGACTTTGCCCTTTGTGGCTCCTGGGGAAGCTCCAGGGTGGGTTTGTGACATTCCTGGACAATAAAGGGATTTATTCCAAATAAAGACCTGTGATATGAGGGTTGCAGGATGGGCTGCAGCAGCTCTCTGGAGCAAACAATGCTGAGTGTGTTTGTTGTGGGGCGGGACAGCCAGGTGGGAACAGCCAGACTTCTGGCAGCAAAAGCAGACAAGCTGGAGAAAGAGTCACAGTGACAACTGTTCTGTGTCTGGGAAGGAGGTGGATATTTCAGAGAGAAACAGATGTGTTGGTTTGATCTGAAATATAGTCCAAAGCTGTTTCTTCCAGGGTCTGAAGGGGCTCCAGAGGGACTCTTGATTAAGAACTGCAGTGCAAGGATAAGGAGTAATGGGGATAAATTGAAAGAGGGAAATTTAGGTTAGATAACAGGCAGAAGTTTTTCCTGCGAGTGTGGTGAGACACTGGCACAGGTTGCCCAGGGAGGCTGTTGCTGCCCTAGCCCTGGCAGTGTTCAAAGCCAGGTTGGATAAGGCCTTGAGCAACCTGTTCTGGAGGGAGGTGTCCCTGCCCAGAGCAGGGGGTTGGGACTAGGTGATCTCCAAGGTCCATTCCAACCCCTTAACATTCAATGATTCTCTAAGCCAGGGCTTGTTCCCTGATGCCCTGGAAAACTGGGCTGTTCCCTGTGTGTGCCAGAGAGTGTAACCAGTTTATTGGTGTAACTATGTTAGCTGATAGCTCACCTGAACTGTTTGTTCACATTGAGGCTGTAAAGACATTGCCCTTTGCTGGGGCTGTGGTTAGTGCTGTTCCTGGTATTGTGGTATGGACAGTGCTAGAGGAGAGCCCAACCCAGCATGGGAACAGAACTGCACCAGGAGCTCCTCAGTTCCTGACCTGTGACCTACAGCAGTGCCACTGTCACTGTGGGGTGTCCTGTACATCTGGTTGTTGCACTCTGGGTCTCTGAAATCAGCGTGTCATGTCAAACAGTGTAATTTTGGTCGTAGTTCTGTGTTTCCTCCCCCCTAGTCGGAGGGATTGCACACTGGGTCAAGTTCAGTATTTTTGGGGCTACACAGAGTTGTGACTTCTCAGTTCCTCTCCATCCCTCATTGCTCAGCGCTGTACAGAGAGAGGCTGTCAGCCAAATACTGTCATTTCAGGTGTACCTGGAGAGACAGAGTATCCTTCCCCTCCACTGTGAATTCCTGAGCAGAGCTTGGACAGTGACTCGTGGGCAGATTTTATTAATGGTGTTGTTTGAGGTGTTCATAATGGACAGAATAGGGTGGAGGGAAAGCTGCTGACACCTTCAGTGCCTTTCTGCATCCGTCCTTGGCTCACCTGGAGTCTTCCCTTGCAGCATCCAGGTGGAGAGGAGGTACTGCTGGAACAAGCTGGCAGAGATGCCACGGAGAGCTTTGAGGACGTTGGGCACTCCACGGACGCCAGGGAGATGCTCAAGCAGTACTACATAGGGGAGGTGCACCCGGTAAGGCCCAGCTGGGGTGAGGGACTGCTCTGTGCCAGCCCCAGGCGCACACACAAGACCTGTCTGAGGAAATAAGTCACTACTTAAGGGGTTCAGGCAGTCCCGGGATTTCTGCTGGGGAAAGAGGATCCTGGGGGGGGAAACAAAGCTAAATTCATCTTCCCCTTTCACTGTTCAGAGCAGGTGTCTCACTACAGTTAAATCAGGGCAGTTAAGGTGATCTCATGGGTTCCTTCTGTGGTTGGTGGTACCATAACCCCCTTTGCCTGGTCATTCCGAGCTCAGGAGGGTCAGAGTTCACAAAGGCACAAACCCCAGTTCCTGCCTGCCTTTGGGTGCTGCAGGAAGGACTCCTATGAAAGCTGAGCCTAGGCAATTCCCAGAGCTGAGGACTAAGCACAATTCCTCCCTAAAGCTGCAGCTTTCCCTTGGAGTCAGCACTTACCTTTCCTCCTCTTTTTCCCCCCTGGCAGCAGGACCGTAAGAGTGAAGGCTCCAAGGTAAGCCCTCAGTGTTTCACTTCTCTGCTTTCATTCAGTGTCACATGACTTTGGGGTGGGTTTTCCCCCCCTTTTTTTCCGGTGAAGCCTGTGGCTTTGTGTTTACACAAACTCCCAGGCAGGTCCTCCCTTTGTTTTTGTTCTGAGGCTCAGCAGGCTCCTCAGTGGGAGCTGGAAGTGGATTTGTGTGCCCTCTCTCCCCTGGCAGCAGTGATGTTGTTTCCACACCTTGAGCCACAGACCAGTTTGTGCATTTCTTGCTGTGTCCCGACCACAGAACTGTTGGTTCCCTTGTTCCCTGGGAGCCAGGCCCAGAGTTGGCTGTCACACAGGAATTCTCTGTTAGCTGCCCCAGGGATCTCTGGTGTTGCTTAACACTCAGGTAGCCCTGGATTAGAACAGGGCAGAGCCTTGCAAAAGTGCCTCTGGAAGGGATGGGCAGAGGGAAATGGCAATAAATAGAATCCCAGCTGGGAGGTAAACATGTGCCTCACAGCTGGCTGGGCTGGGAGGCCTGCACAGGGCTCTGCCTTCAACATGGCTGTCAGGAGATG